ATTGTTTCTAAATCTAATTTTACAATCTCTTTTAGTATCTTGTACGAAACTTTGAGAACCAGGGAGCTGGTCGGCCGAGCGGACAGCACGCTGGACTTGTGATCCTGTGGTCCTGGGTTCGATCCCAGGTGCCGGCGAGAAACAATGGGCAGAGTTTCTTTCGCCCTATGCCCCTGTTACCTAGCAGTAAAATAGGTACCTGGGTGTTAGTCAGCAGTCACGGGCTGCTTCCTGGGGGTGGAGGCATGGTCGAGGACCGGGCCGCGGGGACACTAAAGCCCCGAAATCATCTCAAGATAACCTCAAGATAACCAGGAGCTTAAGACCTCACAAGACTTTGACAACTGATAATCTGACGACTGTTTATGAATGAAGAAAATCTGACACCTGAAAAATCTATTACGATAAAAAACATGAGTTAATCACTCATTATATTATAATGTCTTGATAACTATAAATTATTAAAACAAATATGATGAAGACATATATTATCAACTCTTGCGCTCTGGCGTAATAATTCTTTAGGTTATTAGCCTTTGATGAGCTAATTAGCATAAAACATGTAACCAGTCATCCCTAATTGCATTGTTCACTAATTACCAACACTTACAGAGCACCAATGGCAATTAAGGTTACAAAGAAGGTCATTAACCATCAAATCATTAACCTTATGTTCAGGGACAAGTGTTCTGATCTGAGGGGTAGATAAGGTAGGCAAGGGTAGATACGGCTAGACACGGGTAGATAAGGCCAGACATGGGTAGAAACGGCAAGCCAAGAGTAGATAAGGCCAGAAAATGATATATATATAAGGCCAGGCATGGATAGGGAAGACCAAGTAAGGGGTAGATTAGGCTAGGCAATTTTATGCAAGGTTAGGCAAGCCTAGGAAAGACTAGGCAAGCCTAGGAAAGACTAGGAAAGACTAGGCAAGACTAGGCAAGACTAGGCAAGGCTAGGCAAGGCTGGGCAATTTTATGCAAGGTTAGGCAAGCCTAGGAAAGACTAGGAAAGACTAGGAAAGACTAGGAAAGACTAGGAAAGACTAGGCAAGACTAGGCAAGACTAGGCAACCTAATGAGGGGATAAAGAGTCAAAATATATTTATATAAGTGTTGTGTTTAAAAATAAAATCGAGATTTACAAATCCAAAACTTTAACATTTAGCAAATTGCATAAAAAATTTAATTGCCACATAAAAGTCTGTTGAAATAATTAGATTAAATTACCTTTAACATTCATTCGATAAAAAAAAATCAACATGAAAAAAACCCACGATATATAGGACGAAATATCCTAATAGGTTTACTAGATTTTTGTCTATTAATTAATATTTAATACCCGCGTCTAAAAATAGATTGATTATAATTGTGACCTATAATCTCGACTGTGATTGTTTAGTTATTTATTTGATTGGGAAGTCCGTTTCTCATTGTCAAGACACGAGGCCTAATCACCACAATAACACCAATCATCAATAACCCACCACAATAACACCAATCATCAATAACCACCACAATAACACCAGTCATCAATAACCACCACAATAACACCAGTCATCAATAACCACCACAATAACACCAGTCATCAATAACCACCACAATAACACCAGTCATCAATAACCTCCACAATAACACCAATCATCAATAACCCCCCAATAACACCAATCATCAATAACCACCACAATAACACCAGTCATCAATAACCACCACAATAACACCAGTCATCAATAACCCCCCAATAACACCAATCATCAATAACCTCCACAATAACACCAATCATCAATAATCACCACAATAACACCAATCATCAATAACCACCACAATAACACCAATCATCAATAACCACCACAATAACACCAATCATCAATAACCACCACAATAACACCAATCATCAATAACCACCACAATAACACCAGTCATCAATAACCACCACAATAACACCAGTCATCAATAACCCCCCAATAACACCAATCATCAATAACCTCCACAATAACACCAATCATCAATAACCTCCACAATAAAACCAGTCACCAATAACCACCACAATAACACCAGTCATCAATAACCACCACAATAACACCAGTCATCAATAACCCCCCAATAACACCAATCATCAATAACCTCCACAATAAAACCAGTCACCAATAACCACCACAATAACACCAGTCATCAATAACCACCACAATAACACCAGTCATCAATAACCCCCCAATAACACCAATCATCAATAACCTCCACAATAAAACCAGTCACCAATAACACCAGTCATCAATAACCCCCCACAATACCACCAGTCATCAATCACCCCCACAATAAAACCAATCATCAATAACCCACCACAATAACACCAATCATCAATAACCACCACAATAACACATCAATAACCCACCACAATAACACCAATCATCAATAACCACCACAATAACACATCAATAACCCACCACAATAACACCAATCATCAATAACACATCAATAACCCACCACAATAACACCAATCATCAATAACCACCACAATAACACATCAATAACCCACCACAATAACACCAATCATCAATAACCACCACAATAACACATCAATAACCCACCACAATAACACCAATCATCAATAACCACCACAATAACACATCAATAACCCACCACAATAACACCAATCATCAATAACCCCCCCACAATAAAACCAGTCGCCAATAATCAATAATAAGATCGACGTGAGTGTCGTAGCGTTTGGGGCTGTGAGCGCAGGCAAACGCTTAAAGGTGCAGGTATATTGGCTCACCGATATTCCCCTACTGCGGTAAATCACAGGGATGCTGTACCCTCTCATCTTCCTCATCTCCACTCACACAGCCTCACCCAGCATCCTTCCGGATACACAATGATGTATCTCCCAGAGGCGTTGATCTTCAGAGGACGAGAAAGCCTGTGGGAGATGCAGAATTAAGCTCGGTTCCCTCATCTTAGGATCTGATCCCATTCAATGCCTCTCTCTCGCCTTGATCCAAGGATGCAGGACCAGGTGCCGGTTCACGGACAATGGGTTTAATCCCATTGGAAGGGGTTTAATCCCATTGGAAGGGGTTTAATCCCATTGGAAGGGGTTTAATCCCATTGGAAGGGGTTCGGGATTTGATCCAGGCTCGCAGAGATAGGACTGAATGCGCTCTCAAGGAAGCTGAACAGTCTGTTTTCTCATGTTGATTGAACTGTATAAGTTCTCGCAGATGATGAACCATTTGCTTTCTGACAAATAATGGATTGTCTTACATGCTTGCGGATGAAATAAGACATAACTTAAGATACATTTCAAGACGGATATCTGAGAATTAGGTATCCACATATCCTAACCTCTTGGATTTAGGGGAAATTATGGGGCCATGTATCCCAGCCTCTTGGTTATAGGATAAATCCTGATCCTATATATATCGCAGGATCTTGAGATAAATCACGCGCCACTGCGATTTTCGTCAAAGTTGAGATTGGAACATGAGTAGCTTGTGACCCAACAACCTTAATTAGAATTTCAGCAGGAGTAACTTGAAACGTAACTTCTGTAATTTAAACCGTAACTTCGTAACTTGAACCTTAGTCTCTGCAACTTGAATCTTATATTCAGTAATTTGACCATTAGATTCACTTGCACCTTAACTAACTTAACTAACTTAACTTGAACTCTTCGTCTGTAACTTGGATAAACCCAACCATCCCCTCCACACCTTCACAAACACTGCTACACCTAAGTTATACATTAGGGTACAAAAAGACACTATGTACCATGCCTGCTGTAACTTGAACTTTATCCTCTGTAACTGTAACTAAGGTTCAAATTAAGTTACAGCAGCGACTGGGAAATGAAAGTTAAGAGGGAGAAGAAAATTTGGGTAGGAAATGTTTAGCAGGAGGAGTCTGGCTTTGGAAAGTTTGCAAGAAGAGGCATTAGGAAAATTATTTTCTCGTGGAAGAAATGTATCATTTGTATACATGAGGATTTAATGTTATGTGTCTTAAAAAGAGAACACGTGGTAAGTGATCTGAAAGAGTATACATGTTACTGATAGTACAAATGTACTGACAGAATATACATGTTAAATGTACTGATATAATACACATGTTAAATATACTTAAAGTACAAATACTAAATGTTCTGATAGAGTACAAATTGTAAATGTGCAAAAGAGTAC